ATCTAAAACCGAAAGCCTACACACTAAAACCCTCAACTCTGACCATCAAGCTCGAAAACCCGGGGCCTTGGGAAGCATCGCAATCTCCCCAGGAAGCGTACCTCGCTGGGTTTCACAAGAGTTTAGACTTAAGGGCCTAAGGGTTGTACACGAAGTGCGTTGAGGTAAAAGCAACCCGGGAATTAACATGTCGTGCCCTGACTAACGAACCCTCTTCCTTTGCGGCATGGTATAAGCATGCCCAGTCTAACCCATGTTGAGGAAGGGCGGCTGTCTTATGGGGGGCCTCTGTATGCTCGAGCTCAGGAGCTTTGCGCTGAATCTGAAGTCACTGAAGTTCTTAAAAGGCATATGCGGCATACCCATACTGAATCTCCAGAAGCTTCTGTCAAGCATGGGTTAGGGGTTGCTCATCTAAGACAACTGACGTTGATATTCGATGCTTCAGCGCTTTTTTGTTGTTTTCTGTGGGGGGGGGGGATTGACGGCTGTTTGAATACTTCAAGCATTAAGAACCTGCAATAGAGGCACTTGAAGCCCTAATTAGATGGATTTGGGTGCAGGGATTCGGGTACGCAAGTCTGCAACCCCACATCCTAGGTCGTATACAAGTAGCTGTGAGGGTATAGTTTTTCTCAGTTGTCGTTCAGAAAGACCCGAAATGGGTGAATGAGAGCAATAGCAGTTAGCAATGGCTTGTATAAGACCCTAAACCCCTTAACCCTAAACTCCTAAACCCCTGAAGCCCGAAAGTCCTAAACCCTTAAACCCTAAACTCCTAAACCCCTGAAGCCCGAAAGTCCTGAACCCTTAAACCCTAAACCCCTAAACCCCAAAAGCCCTGAACCCTAAAGTTCAAGGACCCGAGCCGAGGAGTCGAAATTCAGGTCACGGTTTAGGGTTTAGGGTTTAGGGTTTAGGGTTTAGGGTTTAGGGTTTAGGGTTTTGGTCCAAACTGCTACCTGGACCTTGGAAAACTCTGCATTTTTAGAGTCTCCTTTGATGATCTTCTCATACAAGTCCTTAAACAAAGGCAAGTTATGTGGTGTTAAGGTAAGCTCGAAACCAAAGCACAGAATGCTAAGCTTTTCTGTAGCTGTTGTTGTGGGTCCTTGGACCTTAAAGCTACCTAGCCCCTGAAACCCCGAACTGTTTGGAAATTCAATGCTTGGGACTTGAATTCTCCAGGTCCTGACCCTAAACCCTAAACCCTACATCCCAAACCCTATAAGCTCTGCAAGCCCTAACCCCTAAACCTTATAAACCCTAAACCCTATGAGCCCTGAACCCAATGACCTATGAGCCCTCAACACTACACCACTACACCCTCGACCCTTAACCCTACTGGGTCCGGATGTAGAGCATGGGGCTTAGGAGTTTCGGGAATGTGTACGGCTTAGGGCTTAGGGTTTCGGATTCACCCTTGACAGCTCAAGACCTCATAGCATGCTCTTGAGCTTTTTGGCCAGTCTTCTTTGAAGAGGCGCTCAAAAAGGCCCTAAATCTCTGACAGGGCCAGATGCATTCTGCGAGTGCATGTCTCAAAGTCTCCTGTAAGGGTTTAGGCTTCCTTTCATACGGTTGATGATATAAACCCTGCATTGCCCGCAATAAGGAATATATCATGATTCCCATAGTTTAGGGTCCTTAAGGTAAGGCAGGATTTGTATAATCAACAGCATTTCGTGGGTTCTTATAAAGCTTCGATTGAGGCTCCACAAAGGCTCTAATGCTTCTTTGTCTGTGTCTTAAGGATATATGTAGGGCTCGGGCCCTGCGAAATGGATCGGGGGACTTTGTTTTCGGGTTTAAGGTCTAGGTTCAGGGTTTTATGCAAGGTGCTCCTGGATATGCCTACCCCTAAGGGTCCATGTACCCAAATAGTATATACTTTCGCCTTAATGTAGTCCCTACATAGGTACTTTAGGGCCAATGTATATACGACTATTTGGGTACATGGACCCTTAGGGTACAGTCTACTTGCCACCCCAATTGCTGACTCGCCTGATCCGAACCAAGACCTGGACCCTGAAGAACCCTCGCTTGCTCAAGTACTTCAGGGCCAAAGTATATACTACATGGGCACATGGACCCTTAGGGAAAGATTTATTACTCTTGGTTTCCCAGAAATCTTACAACCTGATTAAGAAACCTCGGGTCTGTTTCAAGGATTAGGGTTTAGGGGCCTAAGGGTTCCTTATATGGACCCCAATATTTTGGGGTTTTAGGACCAGGATTTCTTAATCAAGTTCCTTACGTTATCACAGTCGATCCCAACAGACCCCTTGAAGCATAGCCAGCTATGAGCTTTCGGGTAGCATTGAAGGGCCTGCAGGTTCCAGCTTCAAGATTGCTTTACCTGTAATTACGGTTTAGGTTTTAGGGTTTAGGGTTTAGGGTTTAGGCTTTAGGGTTTAGCGTTTAGGTTTTAGGGTTTAGGTCTTAGGGTTTAAGGTTTAGGGTTTGGGTTAAATTTCGCTTGTCCGTGTTGAGCCCAGCGGAATTTGCCGCATTGAAGCTGTGGGGGGGACGGGGTGTCTTCTGCTTCAGAGGTTTCGGTGTCAGGATCTCGGGTGGTGTATAAAGCCCCACGGAACTTTCCCGTCATTAACCAATGTAGGGGCCTTAATAATTAGAATAGGGTTTTGGGAGGTATATCATACGAAAACTACAATAAGGAACCCCAGAATAGTATAGGTAATTATTTAAGCCAAACCCTAAACCCTAAACCCTAAACCCTAAACCCTAAACCCTTAACTACCGGAGCCTCTGCGGACTTTTTAAAAAGCCGTCATCCGAGTTGGTGCCGGGCTCGGAGCTTGTGCTTCGAGGTGCATTTGGCTTCCGGGGGCAGGGCTCCGGGCTTCAACTCAAACCCTACACCCTTAACCCTAAACCCTTAACCCTAAACCCTAAACCGGATTAGGGTTTAGGGCGTCGGGCTTAGGGCCTCTAGGGTTTAATTATAGGGCCTTTAGAGTTTAGGGGCCTCGGGGTTAAGGGTTTAGGGGCTTAGGGCTTCAAAACTTGACGACGAACACTCGGCGGCCTAAGGTGTACAGATTAGACATCATTGTGCCATGGGTTTGGGACAAACGACGTCTTAAACCCTAGAGCTACACCCAGCGCGGAGAGCGCGATCTTTGATGCAAATCTCAGAAACCCAAACGAACGTGGATTCGCTGTGGATGCTCTCTACATTAGGATCTAGGCTGTGGTGCCTTAGGGCTGAGAACTCTTATGGGTATGAGATTAAGGGTTAATGTGGAACTGGGATTGCTGAATCATGGACACTCGCGACTTCCGGTTGATGAAATGATACATGTGCTCTGGAAGCTAAATATCAGTTCTAAACAACAGAGCGGCTTGTCTTAGAAGAGCCTATATCGGGTGGCTCAATACAGCCGGGTTCCAGTTCAGGAAAAAGTGAATCTTGACTGTCCCTGCATAGCAATCTACCGTTGCTGCTGTCTTAAACATGCATAAGTAGATTGGACACTTAGGGTTAAACCCCTGGTAAAACCGTATAAACTCACTTGCACAACACTCTAACCCAAACACAAACTGTCTGAAGCCTAGCTTATAGAGGGCTTAGGCAGCCGTAGGGCACCGGGAGGAAAACGGCCAACTCCTCCAACCACGTCGCATGGCTGGGGACCTGTCTACAGGATGTCCTGGATCTTTGAACTATGTGGGCTTTTAGGGATCAGGAGGCTTCTGCAAAGTTGTAGAGGGACTGGGCTGGGCTGGGCCAAACTAGGGTTTTAAGACAACGCTGCTTCAAGGACCTCTGATCCTAAACCCTAAACCCTAAACCCTAAAACCCTAAACCCTATAAACCCTAAACCTTAGCTTGGCTTGCCAAGTTCAGTCAGATCCAGGAGCAGTTCTCTCGTAGCTATGACATCGACTGCCAGTCTGACCTCATGTGTGTGGTTGTCAAAATTATGGTCCCTTTTTGGGTCCTTATTATAATACGGCACCTATTATTTAGGTACCCCCAAAGGGACCATAATTTTGACAACTACCCAGGTGATCGTGCACTGTGAGTTTGAGGTTTATAGGGTTTGGCTTACAGCTAACACTTGCAAGTGGGCAGACCTAATTCTCAAAATAGTTGTTTCTTTAAGCTCACATGAGTAGTTTTCCAACTTAGGGTCCCTTCGAGGGTCCCTTTTATACAGGTGCCGTGCTTTATTGGGGACCTAAATGGGGCCCTAATCTAGAGAACTACTCACATACAGGCATGGAGTTTACAGGTGCTAGCATGTTAAGAGCATTCCCGAAGTGCCTCCTTCCGCAGTTTAGCATGCAACAGGAAGGCAACACGAGTTCAGAACAGCCCCTGCACTGCGCAATGATACTTCGGGTTTAGGGTTTAGGGTTAACCTCTAAACCCCAAACCTTACATAAGTCCTACACCATACCATATCACTTTTCGGAGATCGACCCCACCATCTCACAATGTCGGCAAAGAACGGATTCGAGGTTTCGGGCTGGGTTTAGGGTCGGTTTAGGGTTTAGGGTTTCATGGCTTATGGCTTGCGGGGTTAGGGTTTTTGTTTCCGGGTTTCGGGTTTTTGGATGACCAGCAGATAGCCCTGCGATATGCATGATGGTCGCATGGCTCAACTATACTGATAGGGACCCAGAGATCTGGTCTAATTACAGGGGCCAAAATGGAATTGACAAGAGACCCAGAGATCTGTTCTATGGGGGCCAATATGGAATTGACAGGGACTTGGACTGCCGATGAAGCTGCACATTTCGTGCCTGCGGTGTATGTAGAGCCGCAAAGCCTACTGCAAGGATGCGGAACCCTAAACCCTAAGCCCTAAACCCTTAAAGCTCTGAGCCTGGCTAGAGCAGTGTTACAAGCTATTGGAGCTTCTTGCCTGCTCAGCTAAAACACAGAAGTGTTCTCTGATATGCTTTCCGGGACACTGAACCGGATGTTTTGTGCACACGTACAAAAACACCATGCTGGGCCAGACTGCGGGTCACTCATCATAGTCGCTGTCAAATTCTCTGTCTCTGCCTGGCGAACCCGCTCGTGGATTTTGTTTGCAGGGAGAAAGAAACTTGTGGGTGTGGCGGCGCTTGCAGGTTTGGTGTTGAGTTCATTTGGTTCAAGTTGTACAGACATAACCTGCCCCTGGGCAGTTCTAAATGTGTAATGTAGGGACCTGAATAATTAGAAAAGGGGTTTTGGGGGGTATATTATACTATCATTATAATAAGGAGCCCCCACAATAGTACTGGGTTAGGGTTTACGGGTTTAAAGGGTTTAGGGGGTGAAGTGCTTGAGAACCTTTGGCCTGAAACCCTACGACCCGAACTCCCGAAACCCTGAAACCTAAAGAGCTACAGTAAACCTGAAACAACAAGAACCAAAATAAGCAACAAAGACTCTGAAACTGTAGATACCATGTATTCTTTCACGCTGCACCTTATAGAACGCCAAAAAACATTCCCTAAGTGTGCAAGACTCTGGAACTGTAGAAATCAGGATTCTTTCACACTGCACCTTAGAACGTAAACAAAAAACACTCCCTAAGTGTGCAAGACTCCAGAACTGTCGAAGCCGGAATTCTTTCACGCTGCACCTTACAGTAGAACGCCAAAAAACCATTGCCTAGCTTGTCACAGGACTTTGGGTTCTGTTCGGGCGCCGACAACTCCAGTCCACACATGAGGACTTCTTGAACCCGTACAGCACAATCAAGCCGTAACATAGGCCCTGCGGAGAAGTGCTACTGGTTAGGGTGTAGGGTTTAGGGTTTAGTGCGGAGAAGTGCTACTAGTTATTGACGCCCTTTTATTAGCCCAAGAGCCTGTGGCTTCCGGATGGTCCGGTCCATTCCAGGTACCCGGGCAACCCATGTCGAAATGCTGGCAGCACCTCATCCAATAAGTTGTTACCCTAAGGGTCCATGCGCCTAATAATAATCACATACTCTCCCAAATATTAAACCCTAAACTCGATTAACCTAAACCCTGAACCATGAACCCGATTTGCCTAGATAACCATTATCCGGAACTAAAAATACCTTCTTAATTGGTCCTGTGGACCCTTCGGGCTATTCGGCTGTAGCTCTTTGGGGGCCTGGGATCATCTTGGGAAGGCTCAGAGTTGAAGAAGGTTTAGGGCTTAGGGGTTTAGGTTTTAGGGCTTCGGGATTAGGGGCTTAGGGGTTTAGGGTTTAGGGCTTAAGGCTTAGGCTTTAGGTTTGAGGGTTTTGGTTTTAGGGGTTGCAGCGCGCCAAGAGTCTAGACGATGAACACAGGACCGTAAAACAAAAACTGGACTTTGAAGTGTGGCTGCGAAACAACCTACTATTAGCAGTCCTAAGCTGCCCTTACTCACGATGAATCCTAGGCAACCTGATAGAAAAAACGGAAGCCTGTCAACAACACTCCAAGAATCCTGGCACCAAGCTGTAAACAAGCACTACATAACACTTCAAGAAACCTGAAAGAAACCCTGACAACCAATATTAAAGGAAACTACAGGTGGGGAGTTTAGGGTATATAGGGCTTCTATAAGGTTTCTGTAAGGTATATAGACCTTTTATAAGGCTCACATAACGGTAACTATCCACCTGAAAATGTCCTAGACAATAAACCCTAAACCCTAAAACCTTCAAACATCCTGACCACACTCATCAGAGCCCCTCAAGCAGTTTTACGAACCAGCGCAGAACGACTCAAGAGAACCCTGAAAGAACAATCCATGACATCTACAAAACAAAAAAGATTAAACCCTCAGGGCTTAGGGTTTAGGGGTTTATGGTTTAGGTCGCACAACTTCGGGAGTTTCTTCGGTGCCCCCATCTGCAAGTCGAGTGGCCAGTGCTTCTTTGGATCTGACCAGCCGAAATACCAATTTCCTTAGGGTTTAAGGGTTTAGGGTATTGGGTTTAGTTTCCGATGCGTTCTGAGGAGCTTGTATAAGGTCTGCTGGGCTTTCTACAAGGCTTTACAGGGTCTCACAAAGCCCTGTGCGAGTACCTTTATGGTAGAATGTAGGGTCTCTATGTTAGGTCTTACTACGATCGTTTAAATTTGGGGAAGTATCCCCGCATAACAGCACATAGGACCCTTTGGGTAAGGATGTTGCCATTTGGCATACCTTTTTATGATCATTTATGGCCCATAAACCCCAAGCCCTAAGCCCTGAACCCTGAACCCTAAACCCTGACTCCCTTACCCTAAACCCAAACCCCTGAACCCTAAACCCTGCATCCTAAACCCTAAACCCTAAACCCTCAAGCCCTAAACCCCACACCCTGAACCCTAAACCCTAAACCCAAATGGAGGCGAGGTTGGGGGTCAGCATGGGGGATACCGGGCTGAGCCCCAGAACCCTACTATAATTAGGGGTGGGCCGAAGGTTTAGGGTTTAGGGTGCTGCTGTAATTGGAGAGACCCTATAAGTCAGAAAGTTCTGAAAACTTGAAAGAGTCCCTGAACCTATTGTTTTGAGGGTCTGACCCCACTATTCAGGGGTGATAACCTACTGTTTTGTAACGTTTGGACCATTAAATGGCCCATTTCTGCCAGCGACTGTTCCAGGTACCCTCGCCCATGTTTCCCAGGCAGAGCTTCACCCGGCAGCTCTGAGGTGGATTCGGCGGTGCAGCCATGGTGACTCGACTGGATCGAAAAATGCCACATGCTGCGGGAGCAGCGTCAGCTTCCATGCGTGCAACATATACCGGAGTCCACCGGAGCTTAGGCTCGCTTTTTCTTACTCTTATCGTCTTACAAGGAATTCGGTTGCTCTCAAACTAATTACGGGCGCATCTTCTTTCAAACATGCTCTCGGGAGTTTTTATCATCCCTCATTTGGGGCTACCACTGTTTTGAAGACCTCACCCCCTGATTCAGGGGGTGTAAGTTACCATTTCGTGGGGGGTAGGTCTCTAAGGGAACACTGTTACTAATTATTCCGACCCCTAAACCCTAAACCCTAAACCACTAATGTAGCTGGGGGCCTTAATAATTAGATTAGGGTTTTGGGGGCTCCTTAATACTACTTATGGCATAAGATACGCCCAAGCCCTATTCTAATTCTTAAGGCCCCCACATTGCATTGTATGTGCGATGTGTGGGCTCTCTTCCATCCTCTTCGATGTTGGGAGCCCTGAAGTCGTCTGCAGAGCATTTGTAATTGGAAGGGTCCCTAACCCTCCTTGTAACTACTAGATAGGGCCCCCCTAAACCCTAAACCCTAAACCCTAAACCCTAAACCCTAAACCCTTAAGCTCTAAACCCCCTAAACCCCTAAGCTCTTGAACCCTAAAAACCCTAAACCCTAAACCCTAAACCCTAAACCCTAAAGGGGCTCTAGTGCCCTTTATAGCGGGTACCTGGGGGGGTTAGGGGTTTTTGGTGCTTTAGAGCAGAGAGTGGAGGGTTTAAAGGTCTGGGGTTTAGGGTTTAGGGTTTAGGGTTTAGGGTTTAGGGTTTAGGGTTTAGGGTTTAGGGTTTAGGGTTTAGGGTTTAGGGTACAGGGTGTAAGGTGTAGGAGTTAGGAATCAGGGTTGAGGGTTCGGCTTCGGTAGCTCTAGAACACTGCACCCTATAAATCCTTAAGGCCCTAAAACCCTAAACTAAACCCTAAACCCAACAACCCTCGACCTTAACATGCCCAGCCTATAGCCGTAATCAGAACACAACCTAGGGGCCTTAACAACTAGAACTAGAATAGGGGGCTTGGGGGCAGACTAGATTATAGGCATAATAAGGGCCTTTCAGGAATCATGTTGAATATCGTTAGGCCCCTATATTAAGTCAAGTTTCTGAAGCCGGCATGGCAGTTGAACTCCGCGACGAAGACCGGCCTGAGATTTCATTGGGGCTTCTTCCTTTCTGAGCTTTGGGGTAGTGGGGTGTAGGATTTGGGACTTAGGGTGCGCTCTCAACCCTAAACCCTGAACCCTAAACCGTGTAGTACAAAGTACCACACAGACGCCTTGACAAACAGTATCGTCTCGAGGGGACCTGGAAAGAGTTCCCAGCCTCTGCTTTCCGAGGGGTGGTTTAGGGTTTAGGGTTTAGGGGTTTGGGGTTTAGGGGTTTAGTGGTTTAGGAGTTTAGGGGTTTACGGGTTTTAGGGGTTTAGGGGTTTAGGGGGTTCAGGGTTTAGGGTTTATGGGATTCGGGTTTAGAGGTTTAGGGGTTACGGTTTAAGGTTTAGGGTTTAGGGTTTAGGGTTTAGGGTTTAGGGGTTTAGGGGTTTAGGGTTTAGAGTTTAGGGTTCAGGGTTCTAGAGTGTAGGGTTTAGGGTTTTAGGGTTTAGGGTTTTAGAGGTTAGGGTTCAGGGTAAAACTTGCTGGGAACCCTTCCAAAGCCGTAAACCTCCAAACCCTAAACCCAGAGCCCCAACCCAGACAGCCTCAGGCCTTTGAAGTGCGAGCCAGATCAACATTAATCTAGGGGCCTTAATAGTTAGAATAGGGTTTTGGGGCACATTCTGCTATAATTGTAACAATTAAGGAGCCCCCAAAAGAGTCTTGGTAATTATTTAGACCCTAAGCCCTAAACCCTAAACCCCAAACCCCAAAACCCCCAACCCTAAACACTACACCCCAAAACCCCGAACCCTAAACCCTAAATAATGATTTAGGCCCTATAGTAAGCGAGCTGCGCTTCATCATGGACTTGAGCTGCTTCATGGGGCCCAGCTCATAGAACCTGGGAGTTGAGGACGGTTTAGGATCGGCTTAGGGTTTAGGGTTTAGGGTTTAGGGTTTGGGGTTTAGGGTTTGGGGTTTAGGGTTTGGGGTTTAGGGTTTAGGGTTTAGGGTGTCATCACCGCAACCTCTTAGACGCGAGAAGCCCGCATCTTCGGATTCCTAATCTAGGGGGCCTTGATAATTGGACTAGGGTTTTGGGGTGTGCTATGCAACCCCTAAACCCTAAACCCCTCAACCCCAAAACCCCTCAACCCCAAAACCCCTCAACCCCAAAACCCCTAAACCCAAAAACCCCTAAACCCTAAACCCTAAACCCTGAACCCGAGGCTTCCATATCATCTCCTGGACGTAAGCTTGAACTCCACTCGAAGCCTGCAGCGCTGCGACCAGAAACAGGCGAAAAAAGCCTGGTCTTTAGGGTTTTTTTTTTTGTTGAGGGCCTTTTTGGTGTCTGCGGCGAGGCGTCCCCCAAGCTCATGTTGAGCAGGCTTTGGGCTACTTTTAGCCCTTGGCATTACCCTTGACATTATCAGTGGCCTCAGAACTCATGCTTCCTCTCTTCATCACCGACGGGGACCCTTCCGGCATGTTCAACCCTTCACCCTGAGGTAGTACACCACTGCCGACTCCGCCAGCTTCATTGTTCATCAGTTCCGAGGGTTTCTCGAAGCTCTCTTCCATGACCGTGTCATACTGGTCGTTGTTGTGTCCCCTTCGTCCTCCTTGACCCTCCGCTCCCTCGCATGCGACTCCTTCATTTTGCTGGTTGTCAACATTGCCCTCCACATCGTCGCCCCCATTCTCTTCCATGTCGGCCAAGGTCATTTCAGCCTGCATGAGGTCCAGCGCTGCTTCTCCCCACATCGCGAGGACATAGGCTTCCGAGATGAGCCCTTTGCGAAGTCTCTGGCACTCCCTTTGGTAGGTGTGGAAGTCCAGGTTGGAGGGTGGCGACACCACTTGCTGCACTCCATCTTCGTTGCCCTCGTACTTCAGCGACTGCAGCTCCACCGGCTCCACAGGCTCCGTTGTCCCTTCCGATGGTTCACTGCCCTGCTGGCCCACAATCGCAGCCCCCAAGACCACGACTTCCTCTCCGACGTGCAGCGGCAGGGGCATCCTGATAGTGGTTTCAACTCCGCTGTCCCCCGGTCGTGGTCCCAGTTGCAGTTCAACCATCATCCGTTGTCTCTTGGGTGGGCGCCTCATTTCATCATACATCGCCCAGTCGTCCCAATTCTGCCACCTGGCTGCCTCCTCCTCTCGAAGGTGGGACTTCCACAACTCCCTCCATGTGCTTGTCGTACTCGTCCTCTTCAGCTTCGTGTTCCGCCTCCTGTGCCTTCTTCCAGAGTTGTTGACATCTTTCCTCGGCCATGTAGGCAGCTTCCTCCACTGCCAGAGCTTCTCCTTCTTCTTGTCCTCGTTGGTCGATCCACACTGGCTCGCGAGAGCCCGCGCTTGCAGAGGCTGGCGTCTGCATATGACGGAGGATTCGCTCCCACCATGTTTGTAACCAGCTCACCTCGCAACCTTCCAGGCTCTCCCCCTCAATCTCCTGCCCAAGGTCCTCCCGCATGGTGACAAGCAAGGCGTCCAGCAGGTCGAGGGTATCATTCGGCCCGTGCTGCATGCGGTACTGTCTTGCTCTGACTTGCATCTCCCTCAGCTTGAGTCCAGCCGCCTTTCCTGCAGCTTCCGCGATCCAGGCCGCCTGAAACTCCTGTAGGATCGAGGCCTGCTCCCGAAAGGTCTTCCGGCAAGCGGTCTTGGAGGTTTGCATCAAGCTGTGGCCGTCCGCCCTCTCCACCTCCACTTCCACCAGGTCCTCTTCTGAGGCTGCGAGGATCTGTGCTCCTTCGGCCATGAGCCTTCTCACCAACTCCACCAGTCCTATCGTCAGGATGGCGAGGTCGTGCCGGTCATACTCCCGCATGGTGTCGACCGCGTTGTCTGCTACACTCCTGGGAATGACTCTGCCTCCACTCTGCACCGCCCTATCCATATCTCCCATGGCCTGGGTGTCACACAATCCCAGCAGCTGCCTCCAAAGGTCGACAGCCTCCGGCACCGTGAGCGGCAGCGGTCTTTAGGGTTTAGGGTTTAGGGGAAAAAGGCCTGGTCTTCCTATGACGGCATACCCGGCATCCTAGCATCCTAGATATATACATGGGACAGTCCGTAATTGAAGGATCACCTAGTAAAGAGGTTGAAAGTAGAGCCATATGTACTTTTTATCGGGACTCTTTCACTTACAAATAACCTCACGTATGAAGTATCTACTCAATCACATGATCCTTCAAGCAAACCCTGAACCCCGTCAAAGCCCTACAAAATCCTTCTTGGAATCCCGCGTATAGCCTGATCCCCTGCTTCGAATTTCTTGTGGAAGATCTGGAAATCAATCCAGCACGAAACCAAACCCCTAAAAGCTAAACCTTAAACCCTAAACCTCTAAAACCTAAACGCAAACCCCTAAAACCCTAAAGCCCTAAGCCCTAAAACCCTAAAGCCCTGAACCCTAAAACCCTAAAGCCCTAAACTCTAACTCCCAACTTGCAAGAATTCGGCCCAGGAGGCTGGGAGAGGCCGTCCTTCAAGGCAGCGCGCATGCAGGACTCCCACAGGACACCTTCGTTAACCAGAGACTCCAAGACCCCTTACTTAAGGAATATACCTTAAAATCTTATCAGGGATCCTACTATAATTTAAGGTATATTCCTTAATTAAGGGGTATTGGAGTCTCTGTTTTTGCTTCTTTTAAGGGCCCCTCTGGTCTCTTGCGATCCACCGTTGGGGTTTAGGGCTTCGGGTTTAGGGGTTTAGAGTTTAGGGGTTTAGAGTTTAGGGTTTGTGGTCTAGGGTTTGTGGTTTAGGGTTTAGGGTTTCGGGTTTAGGGTTCAGGATTTGCTATGCTGGTTCACACCGCCTAAACCCTGAACCCGAGTTCATGCAGTATATGGTTGCTATCAGGATTTTGTAGATGAAACCCTGAACCCTAGTTCATTTATTATATGCTTCATATCAGGTGAAGGTAGGGTTGAAGATCATTTGGCCTAGGGCCTAGCCCTGCACCCTAAACTGGGGCCTAGGGCGCTGAGTCACTGACGCCCGCCATCGGCGTATATCACTACGGAGTCGACCCCGTAGATGCAGGCTTTCGGGTTTAGGGTTTAGGGTTTAGGGTTTAGGGCTTAGATTTTCATGTAGACATGGGTCTGGATCTAGGCATAGATACAGATATGGAGCATAGATATCCAGAAGAAGATACCGCTGCGGATGCAGATATAGTACATATAGATACCCTCTACTACCCTAAGCCCTAAACCCTAAACCCTAAACCCTAAACCCAAAGCCCTAGACCCTGAGAGTGCAACCCCAAGCGGCAGTTCGTGAGCTGGTCAGCCAAGGTGGTGATGATCTCCTTGACCGGCGTGCCGGCAGGGAGCCTGCAGTTGAGAAGTCCCAGAGCTGCACCCCCCAAATTAAAGGACTTGAAGGGTTTAGGGTTTCAGGTCAGGGTTTAGGGTTTAGGGTTTAGGGTTTAGGGTTTAGGGTTTAGGGTTTAGGGTTTAGGGTTTAGGGTTTAGGGTTTAGTTTGGGGTGAAGGAATGAATTAAAGGAAACTACAGGTGGAGGGTTTAGGGTAGATAGGGCTTCTATAAGGCCTCCGTAAGGTATATGGACCTTCTATAAGGCTCCTATAACGGTAACTACCCACCTGAAAATGTCCTAGACCACAAAAAGCCCACGAGGTCGCAACTCCAATTAAGGTTCCTATAAGGGCTTCTACAAAGGGTTTCTATAAGGGTTTCTAAAAGGGTTTCTAAAAAAGTAATCAAAGGCTTCCTTAAGGGTTTCTTCAGCAGCTCTATAGGTTTATTTGGGTTTCTATAGCGAGTTTCTGTAAAGTTCTGTAACGGTTTCTACAGGAATTCGACAAGGGTTTCTATAAGTATACTATAAGGGTTCTAAAAAGGCCAACCTCAGGGTGCTATAAGAGTTGCCATACCACTGGACCCTAAGCTCTAAAAGCTTGAAACCTGAAAAAAACCCTAAAAACTGTCCCCTAAACCTTCGAACCCTAAATCCTGAGCCCACCAGAAAGAACCTTTAAACCCTCCATCTTGAGCCAAACACAAAGG